AGTGAATGACAGCAAGGCCTATAACTCCACATATAGAAAGTTCAGAATTCAGCTAGGCGGACCATAACAGTTTCACGAGTGGGCTCGTATCAGCAATAATCCCACTGTCACTAGAGAAGAAAGCATTCCTAACGAAAAGCACACAACTTCTCCAGCCGACTACTCTCCCCAAAGTACACACGGATCACATCCACTAAATGTCAAATTTTCAATTTAGCGACAAGTGTGAGAGTGCGATGAGCAGTAAAGATGCGCGTGGCGCGTGTCCAGGCATATCTTACTGAACTTGGACAAAGGGTAGGAATTGTTACTCGTGGAGATTTTTCAATTTGAGACAACTGTCATCTTGTTCTGTGCTGACAAAGACATGATTACAACTGTCCCAAAATGAAAATATCTCACGAAAACCTTGGCCACGCCACATTCTATCAAGCACGCAACCACGCCTACCGCATCTCAGGAATTTTGTGTAGGTGCTCTGATTTCATTTTTACCGACCGTCTTCCATAGGAAAGATAAAAACCACGGTGTTCGAGTACTTTCATAATATCTTCCAACTGATCAAGAAATATACAGCTGTGGGAAAAATTTGGACAAACCACAAAATCGCGTTTCAAACAGTTTTGAAGCTCTTGCTCAACAGAAATACACCGGAAAGGTGAGCAGATAGTGGGAGCTCAACAAGCAAAAACTATTCAGCTCTCAAGATTTGGTTTGCTTACGATTTCGCTTGATTAGAGCCTTCAACATTCGTGGAATCGACTCCACAGGAGTTCAGGGTTTCCACGTATGTCCGACTCCGAAATGCTTGAAATGCATGTAACTGCTCACTCGTGCTGGTGGTCTTTATTTTGTTACATGCTTCGAGCCATCTTGAAGGCAGTTGGCACGATGATTTGGTGCTCGGCCTAAAATGCTAGTAGGGCGCTATATAGTGGGGAAATGGCGAAAGAACGGAGTGAAACGGTCAAAATCCTACGATTAACAGTAAGTGACGAAAGCGCTGTGGCTATCATAAGTGGCAACTCTGACGCCTCCCCAGTTGTCCCGCCCACGAAAGCTCAAAGGTTAATTCCTGTCCCAAGTTCAGTTTTTACACAGCGTTTTCCTTTTTTTCGTTGTTTGATGGCATTAGTATTGAAGGCGAGCAGAAACCACTATTGAGCTCGAGGTGTCAGGACATAGCTTTGCCGGTATGAAACGAGCACATCCGGAAAGGTCGTCCAGAGAGGCTACCACGCCTTTACTTATGGTGTTCGCCACAGTTTTTTTTTCGCGTTTCTCCTCACTGGAAAGTCACTTGGCGACGACGTAGAGCTCCACTATTCACAATGTATTAGGTTGTCCGGAAAGTTCTCAGCGTTTTGTGCACCTATTTTTTGTACATTCACTGCTGATTAAAAACTCATTCTGCCTTGCTTCTCAGTAGCACATCCTGTAGAGAATTTCTTGCGCTATCTGGTGTAAATGAAGAAATGCCGAAAGTGAAGAAGTGCGGAATGTGCAGAAATGCCGAAGTGCGGAATCTGCAGAAAAGCAATAGATACTTATCGACTTGAAGAAATGCAGAAATGCCGAAAGTGAAGAAGTGCGGAATCTGCAGAAATGCCGAAAGTGTGGAAAATCGATACGTATCGGTTGCTTTTCTGCACATTCCGCACTTTCGGCATTTCTGCAGATTCCGCACTTCTCTTTCGGCATTTCTGCAGATTCCGCGTCACGAACGCAAGCTATGAACGCGGCCTCAGCGGGAAAGCAGTGAATGACAGCAAGGCCTATAACTCCACATATAGAAAGTTCAGAATTCAGCTAGGCGGACCATAACAGTTTCACGAGTGGGCTCGTATCAGCAATAATCCCACTGTCACTAGAGAAGAAAGCATTCCTAACGAAAAGCACACAACTTCCTCCAGCCGACTACTCTCCCCAAAGTACACACGGATCACATCCACTAAATGTCAAATTTTAATTTAGCGACAAGTGTGAGAGTGCGATGAGCAGTAAAGATGCGCGTGGCGCGTGTCCAGGCATATCTTACTGAACTTGGACAAAGGGTAGGAATTGTTACTCGTAAGATTTTTCAATTTGAGACGACTGCCATCTTGTTGTGTGCTGCACAAAGAAATGATTACAAGTGTCCCAAACCAGGGCACAGCATTCGATGGGGATTTTGGTCGAGCTTTTACGACCCCCCCCCCTTTTTTTCAGGGGCTGGTACGACCCCCCCCATAGGGAATCCCCATCGAACCTGTGCCCTGTCCCAAACTGAAATTGTCTCACGAAAGCTTTGGCCACTGGCACATTCTATCAAGCACGCAACCAAGCCTACCGCATCTCAGGAATTTTGTGTAGGTGCTCTGATTTCATTTTTACCGACCGTCTTCCATAGGAAAGATAAAAACCACGGTGTTCGAGTACTTTCATAATATCTTCCAACTGATCAAGAAATATACAGCTGTGGAAAAAATTTGGACAAGCCACAAAATCGCGTTTCAAACAGTTTCTGAAGCTCTTGCTCAACAGAAATACACCGGAAAGGTGAGCAGATAGTGGAGAGCTCAACAAGCAAAAACTATTCAGCTCTCAAGATTTGGTTTGCTTACGATTTCGCTTGATTAGAGCCTTCAACATTCGTGGAATCGACTCCACAGGAGTTCAGGGTTTCCACGTATGTTCGACTCCGAATGCTTGAAATGCATGTAACTGCTCACTCGTGCTGGTGGTCTTCATTCTTTTGCTTCATGCTTCGAGCCATCTTGAAGGCAGTTGGCACGATGATTTGGTGCTCGGCCTAAAATGCTAGTAGGGCGCTATATAGTGGGGAAATGGCGAAAGAACGGAGTGAAACGGTCAAAATCCTACGATTAACAGTAAGTGACGAAAGCGCTGTGGCTATCATAAGTGGCAACTCTGACGCCTCCCCAGTTGTCCCGCCCACGAAAGCTCAAAGGTTAATTCCTGTCCGCAAGTTCAGTTTTTACACAGCGTTTTCCTTTTTTTCGTTGTTTGATGGCATTAGTATTGAAGGCGAGCAGAAACCACTATTGGGCTCGAGGTGTCAGGACATAGCTTTGCCGGTATGAAACGAGCACATCCGGAAAGGCTCGTCCAGAGAGGCTACCACGCCTTTACTTATGGTGTTCGCCACAGTTTTTTTTTGCGTTTCTCCTCACTGGAGAGTCACTTGGCGACGAGGCACGCGCTACGTGAGCGTCACTATTCACAATATACAATTACGAAGTTATGTCGATTCAATATTATCGAGAGCACTGAATCATCTCTATCTCTGGCAATATAGTGCACCATTACGACAAATATCCAATCATGAGCTGGTTTCGTCTACGACACCGGGCGAAACGGATCATCTGTGCTGTGGAGTGTATGCATTTCCCCAATGTTTGTTTTTCTTTGTTTCTAATTGTACGCAGGGAAAAGTGGTTCGATGGAGC